TTTTTTTTTATTTTTTTTCCTATGTTTGTCCCTCTGCCCTGTCTCACTCTCCCATTACAATATCCCTGCTATATACAGTTGTCTTCCAGAAGAGTTACTGAAAAAGTGATACATACAAGTAAAGGGAGAGAGGCCACGAGTTCCAACCATCAGCTCATAAAGTTTTTGGCAATAGGGAGCATAAACTCCACTCAGGGTTGGATTAAGGGAGGGTCTCCTGCAGATCCACAAGTGTAGGTGAGTCTCCAGGGAATGCAGTTTCAGGAAAGCAGTTCTGGTACGCAGGGATGATTATCAGCTGATGCGGCACAGCAGTCATCTTGTAGTTACCAGGAATGGTTGTGGGGATCTGCAGTGTGAGTTGTCCTTGGGTATCTGGCTTCCTTAAGAATGGCAGAGTAGTTCTTGTTTTCCCCTGAGGTAATGCAGGGCTGGTAACTATCATCTTCTCAGGTTGCAAGTTCTTCAACCTTGTTTTCGGCCTCCGGGCCATCCAGCGCCGGAGAGGCCAGGGAGGCCAGCCCCTGGAGGGGGCCAGGCCGTGCAGGGGTGTAAGCCCCTGGCCGCGGGGCCCCCGGAGGGGGGCCGGGCCATTCCAGCGCTTGCGCAGGGGCAGAAGCCCCCCGACCGCGGGGGCCCCAGAGGGGGGCCGGGCATTCCGGCGCGCCTATTATTATTAGTCTTTAGATTGACCAGAGACAGACAAGAGAGAGAGAGAGAAAGGGAAAGTAAGAAAGCAAGCTGCCAGGTCTGGGACTGGAACCGTGGCTAGTCACGTGGGAGTCCAGCACTTCTAACCACCATGCCACCTGCCAGCCCCAACTTTTTTTTTAAAGCATTTTTAAAAAGAATTTTAAAAGTTAACTTTATTTATTTATTTTAATTTGACCAGAGAGGGACAGAGTGAGGTGGGAGTGAAAAAGCAAGCCACCAGGCCCAGGACTCAAACTGTGGTTGGCCACGTGGGAGTTCAGCGCCCCTAACCACCATGCCACCTGCCGGCTCCAATATGTAAACTCTCTTATATATAGTTATATTTATCTTTAATCTTAGCCTTTCTGACATACAAAAAAATCACAATATAATCCTATTTTTCTTTCTTTCTTTTTTTTTTTTTTAGTTTAATAGAGGATTTGTGTGCTTATTGGAGAAAGAGGGAGAAATGGAGAATGGTCAAAACCCCATCCCTTCTTCTACATATCTGTGCTTTTGGGTTTCTGAGGATTCATGCACATGGGTCTGGTGTGCCTTTCAAGATAAGGGGTCTGTGACTCAAACTGTGGTTGCCATGTCGGATTTAGCATTACAGCCACCACATTGCCAGCTGGCCCCATTGCCATTTTATTTTAATATTTTATTGGGGCCGACAGGTGGTGTGTTGGTTAAGGACACTGGACTCCCACATGGCCGACTGCGGTTTGAGTCCTGCACCTTGTGAATTGCTTTCTCACTTTCCTTCTCACTTTCTCTCTCACTCTCTCTAACTCTGTCCCTCTCTGGTCGAATTAAAATAAAGTTAAATAAAATAATTCTTTAAAAAAAATTATTTACCAGAGAAAGAGAGAGAGAGAAAGTGAGAAAAAAATAATTATTTAAAAAAATTATTTTATTTAACTTTACTTCTTATTATTTGTTTTAATTTGACCAGAGAAATAGAAAGTGAGAAAGCAAGTTGTCAGGTCCAAGACTTGAACCATGGTCTGCCACATGGGAGTTCAGCACCCTTAACCACCATGCCACCTGTTGGCCCCATATTTTAAAATTTTAAACAATTCTGTGTATCTTAAAGATATTAAAAGAAAAAAATATTTTTCTTCTGTTTTTGCCATAGGGTTGCTGGAGAGACAGAGAGAGGGAAAATGTTAGAAATCATCATAGTCCCTTCTCTTCCAGTCTCTTTTTGGAATTTTGGGCATGCACGCACATGTGCCAGTGTGATTTTCAAGCCTCCAAGACTGGGATTCGAACTGTGGTTTGCCATGTGAAAGTGCAACACCTTAACCACCATGCTACCTGCTGGCCCCAGAATTTAACTTTATAGTTATTTATTTATTTATATTTGGAGAGAGATTTTTGCTGTAGGGCTTGTGCACTCACCAGAGAGACCAAAAGAGAGAAATCACCCTGCAAAGGGGATGGCCATGCCACAATCCCTTCTCTTTCATTCTTCTCTTGGGATTTTGGGCATGCACGCACACTCTCCTAGCATGAGTTTTAAGCCACAGGGTCTGGGACTCAAACCACTGTCGACTATGTGGGAGTAAGTGATACAAACATTATGCCATCTTTTGGTGCCTCTTTAAACTTTGAACGCAGGACTGCTTAAAGGCCTGTCACTTTCTTCTATTCACTGTTATCCCCCCAGCGTCTTCCCTTTGGTTCTTCAGATTCTTAGGATTGGATGTTTTCATGAAGTTTTCACTGCTCAGTGTGGCTCCAAACTAAGCCTGTCTGTCCACAAAAAAGTAGTAATTAAAAAAGGATGGGGGACTCATGCAGTGCTATCTTCTTTCAGGTGTTAATCTCCCTTCTAGTTTTTGCCTGCTCTGTGTTGCTGTCTAACCTTTCAGGTAGCTTTTAATAGTTTTGTTTGGCAAATATAATTGTTACCTGCAGTAGGATTGGTCTGATAGGAACTACCATGGTACTAACGAATTGGAACTTGCTAGTATATTTATATAACAAATTGTATTTGCTAGTGTATTTTTTTTTTGAGAGAGAGATTTTGCTATAGGGTGCATGCGTTTGCCAGAGAGACAGCGATAGAGAACCAGAAAGCAAGAAATCACCTCTGAAAGGGGATGGCTATGCTGCAGTCCCTTTTCCTTCATCCTCCTTTTGGGATTTTGGGCACGTACGCCCACATTCCCAGCGTGAGGTTTTTTTTTTTTTTTTTTTTTTTTTTTAAAAAAACGTTTTTTTACACTTTTTAAGAATAGTTTTATTTAACTTTATTTTAATTTGACCAGATTGGACAGACTGAGAGAGAGAGAGAGATGGAAAGTGGAAAGACAGCCCGCCACGTCCGGGACTCGAACTGTGGTCGGCCATGTGGGAGTCCAGCATCCTTAACCACTGCACCACCTGCTGGCCCCCCTTTTTTTTTTGATAGGTTTTGCTATAGGGAGCATGTGCTCACCAGAAAGACAGAGACAGACAGAAAGCGAGAAATCACCCCTTAGGGGAGATGGCCATGCTGCAATCCCTTGTCCTCTACTCTCTCGGAATGAGTTTAAGAGTTTAAGCCACTGGGTCCAGGACTCCAACTGCGTTCGACTACATGGGAGTCCAGTGACATAGCCATTACACCACCTGCTGGTACCCTTCCCCCCCCCCCATGACTTTTAAGCCCTAGGTTTAGGACTTGAACCACAGTCAACTACATGTTGACGTAACCAACAATGTAACCATTATGCCATCTGCTGGTCCTCACTAGTATATTTCTCAAAGTGAAATAAATTTATTAATTTAAATGAGAGAGCATGTGCATGAGTGACGAGAAAGTCAGCCTTGGCAGCGTCATCATGCTGCAGTCCCTTTCCCTGACCTCTTTAACAGGTCAGGATCTTAGATGTATGCTTGTCTGGGGTGTTTTCAGATTGATTCGGGATCAGAACCTTCTGATGGCTATGGGGCTTCCAGCAGTGCAGACGAGCATGCTATCACTTGTACCATCAAGGCTGAGCCAAAGTGCATATATATATACTTCTTTTTTTTTAGAGGTTTTTAACTTAGGTACGTGTGCTTGCTGGAGGGAGAGGGACAGAGACAATAAGAGGGAAAGTGAGAAATCACCCCCCAGGGAGGTTGGCCATGATGAAATCCCTTCTCCTCCATTCTTTTCCCAGGATCTTAGGCATGCATGCACAGGTGCCTCCCATGAGTTTTAAGCCACCAAGTTCGGGACTTGAACTGCGGTCAATTATGTGAGAGTTCAACATAACCACTATGCCATCTGCTATCCTAAGGGAACATATTTTAGGTCACCATGTGAGGTGAGGTAGTCATAAAGCTCTGTGCCAACATTCTGTTTAGAGTTGTATAGAAAAACTTGTTTCTTTTTTGGAGCAAAGCTAATAAATAACGAAGTGTCTTTCTTTTCCTGGCCCTTCAGAGAAATAATGGGAAGGCCTCAGTTTTTAAAATCAGTTTTAACTAGTTTGCTTTTATTGCAGCTTCTCCTCTTAAAAATAATGATGAAGGTTCATTGGACATATATGCTGGGTTGGACAATACTGTTTCTGGTATGTAAATTCAATAAAACGGTTTTATTTTTTGGGGGGATCAGTTTGTTGTGTTTGTTTTGTCGTTACAGTTGCTTGAAATACCTCATAACTTCCAAACAATTTGCCCATTCTTTGAAAGTATTATTTGATTGCTGGGAAATTCATGACGTATTTTTCTATACAAAAATGCGTCATGGGAGCCAGCAGTTAGCGTAATGGCTATGTTGCTGGACTCCCACGTAGGCGACCCC